CTTTCTACTTGGCTTTCTTCAGAATTTTCACTTTCCTACCAGATACTGTTCTTCTGTGTGGTAATCCACTCTCAATAGTTTGAATAACACAATGTATAGTCCATTTTCAAATTCTTTCATTTGCAGAATGGTTTACAGTAAACTATTTCTTAATATTTTATTTAATATGTAAAAGTTGTACTCTCTTAGGACTAAAACATCATCTTTCATTGTCATTTTAAAAGAAGCAGAAAACTGAATGCAGAAAGAGATTCTATAATGTTCTACAAAATTCCGTGCAGTTCAAATTATAGCCCATGAATCATAATTGAAATTATGTGAACATGCAAACTGTAACTACACTAAAATACATGTTATATGACAAAAGATGCAGATAGGTTAAATATATTTCTGTTTGAAATAAATGATACTTCTACTTTTAGAAATCTGAAAATCAAAAATGTGTAGGAAATTATATACACACTAGCAGACCCCACCACACTTTGTTGTGGCTCAAAATGTATCTATTATAAATGTATAACCCTTCCCCCATGGGGGGAATTTTTCGAAAAATTTCTTCTTAGTGTACATTCTGTTGACGTACCCTATTAAAACGCAATCACCTGCATCTAAAATCTAAAATAGTATAAACAGAAGCAGAGTTCTTTATGGTAAGCCTTAATCCTAACCATCTCCCTTCGGTGGGGTTGAATTTCGACATGTATATTATACAAAAACACGTGTGTATTCGAATGCAGCGTTGTGTCGAAATTTCAAAGGAATCGGTAGGAACAAACGAACATTACATTTTTATTTATATAGATAGATAGAAGATGATCTGCTTTAGTTCATTTTCATAGAAAAGCATAATGCCTCACAGAAAAGCAAACTTAGGGTGTCATACTTGTAGCGCCATCTGTTGGACATAAAAGCCTTAAGCTAGATTATATCTTTTAATTTATATGAATGTTTACCGGAATAATATACATCCTATGTCCACCCTAAAGTTCCATTCTAAATATTAGTGAAAGAATTTTTGAAATCGGATGAGAAGTTTTGGAGATTACCTGCTACATCCAAACTTACATACAAACATTACCTCTTTATAATATTAGTATAGATTACAAATGTTCATGTAACTTAATAGATTTTGATTTTCATATTTCTAGATATTTTATAACTTCATTGAACGATAATTGGTTTCTCAAAATTGGATTCAGTTAAATAGAAGCCAAAATGCAATTTATGTATGCATTTTCTTAATTGATATATATCTAGGATTTAAAATGAGAAGTTATGTTTGAAAATAAAAATTCATATAATTGAAAATAATTATCAAATTTATTAGTGTTTTAACTTTTACTGTAAAATAGGTATTAAGAGATTATTCTAGTTTCAATTTTAAGATAATGTTTTGTTTTTATCAGGCCCTTTTCATTATTATATCTCTTAATAACTGAAATGTATATTAAAATTTATAAACATGCTTTTTAAAACAAAAAATTTTTAAATTTTAACTAATTTTATATGTTTTGTTGAGTTACAATAAATTAAAGACAGTACAGACTCTCACCAGGATATATCATTAAATGCAAAATGAACTGTCTTTTGCTAAAATTCACAACTGAATCACAAGACATATTTTTGTTTTCACCATGTTATCATATGCACTTTTGAAAATTAACACAATGTTATCAACAGGTTATCAAACTGAATGGAGTAAGAACACAAATTTAAATTAAGCAGATTTTTTGATTTTTACAGTTTGTGATTAAGAAAAAAATTATGATAAATGATGACAATGTAAAATAAACATATACAATACAAATGAACAAAACGAATGAGTAAAATAATTAAATAGATTCATATATAATGAGAGTACAACTATTACAATACAATTGAAGATAAATATAATAAGAAATTAAGTAAGATTTTAAAGATTTTCACTACACTTACTTATAAAACAGAACATGACAAAACTCTTCTTCGGAAATTTTTCATGAATATTAATTGCCGAAATTCTAATTTTGTAATATCTGATAGTTATATATTNTTGTATCGTTAAAAATTAGAAAATTAAGCCTCGTTTAAATACTGGCTCCCTTTCATGGTCGAATGAGTGTTGCCAGCTAAAACACGTAAAAATAATATTAAAGTAGCCAAGACAGCCAAATATTGTAGCGCCACATCACTAGCAGACATTTGAAATTTGCCAACTAGGACGGTCGGATAATCAAGGCTCTACTGTAATATGTTAGCTTATAGGTAATGATGGTAGCAGGAAAACAAACTGAATGAATTATTATTAATTAATAATTATAATTGAGAAATAATCAAGATTACATTTTCTAATTTTTTAACTTGTCCCTTTAATAACAGGATTAAGATCCAGAATTTTTAATTTATCAGTTTAGGTGAATCAAACAATTTTTATAAGTGAATTTTTCTACATTTTTGTAATACTGTATCTTATTTTTTAAACTGATTACTTTCTAATTAGTATTAATAGTGACAAACTAATCAGTTTACATTAATATTTTGTTTATAAATAATTGTTTAACATAATCATAAAGAACTGCATTTGTTCAAAATTTTTATTTTTCAATTATTAGCTTTAAATTAATAATGTGGTAAATATCAATTTAGATGTATCTATTTTCTGCTGATTCACATCAATAGAATTATGTTCTTTTCAGTACTGGAATGAATTAATAAGCACATTTAACTAAACCTTTAATTTCCAATATTTTTTAATGTAAAAAAATTTTCTGATGAACATTTTCAACCTTAACCAGGTCGTCCTTAATGATTTGACCTTAACCATTGACGACCTGGTGAAGGTCAGGTCGTCAATGGTTAAGGTTGAATGGTTAAGGACGACCTGGTTAAGGTCGAATCAGGTCAGGTTGTCAATGATATTCCAAAATTGGAATGCGCACAAGAAAAATTTTTTCAATATATTTTTTAAATAATTGAACAAAAACAACATAAAACAACAACAAATTAATCAGTGGTTAAAATATACTGTATTGAAAAAATTTTTGTTCTTCACATACCAATTTTGGAATATCATTGAAGACCTGAGGCAGACCTTGGTTAAGGTTGAAAAGTTCATCAGAAAATTTTTTACATTAAAAATTTATATTACTGGAAGTTAAAGGTTTAGTTAAATGTGTTTATTGATTTACATCAGTGGTGTAAAACTGGCAGCCCGCAGGCCACATGTTGCTCCTGATGTGATTTTTCATGCCCCATGGCCACGATGCTCTGAAATAAACAAAACTGCTTACAGATAATGATTAGCTAATAAACATCTATCTGTCATAATGAAGATTGTTCTGTATTTGAATCCATAAAACTAAGATGAGGATGATAGTGCTGGCAAGGTTCCAATGAAAACAATTTTAGTATTTAAATATGTACATTAAATAAAATAAATGTTTAAATAAAAGCAATACTATAGCAATTATATAATATTAAATTGAATTCACTGAACTACATAATGTGTTTTAATTGCCCTATTTATATTCCTGCATTCTCACTTCATTTTAAGAAAATTTGTAAATGTGATGTGGCCTGCATGAGTCTAATTTTTAATTTGTAATTTAATTTTTGTAAATGTACTGCATGAGTCTAACCAGTTGCATTAATGGCTTGTTTAAATCAGTTTGACACATCTGATTTACAACATTGAAAATTTACCTTTAGTTTTTCATATTATGTATTATACATTGTTTGAAAGATTAATATGGCTCTGACAAATCTTACGGAGAGAGTGATCTTGAGCACATACATTGTTTAACTCAGTCACTTAGTAACAAATTGAAATTAGTGTAAAATAATAATGCATTTTATTTTATGAGAATCCTCATGATTAATCCTTTCATAGTGTTAAGATTATTGCTTGATGTGGTGTACAACTTTTGGAATGATTGGTCCTTATTTATTTGAAAACAGAAAAGGTGAGGCTGTGACAGTAAGTTCAGCTGACAACATTAAAATGCTTCACAACTTTCTTGAATTATAGTTGCACTAATGTAATCCTGAATACCAGAATCTGATTTCAACAGGATGGCATCGGCTCACATTAGGAACAATTCAAGGATCTATTAACAACTTTTTGTGATAATTTCTTTTCTTGTTTAAGTAAAAGATTGGCCTGACATTCAACCCTCAAATTCAAATAAATTCACTTAATTTTAAGTATTAAAATACATTTAAATATAAGTTAATAATACAAATATAACAATGATGATAATTTTTTCTTAAATATTTGTGTATTGAATGTTAAATAAGCATTTTTTTCTATAACAAACAGTATATTCTTTTTTGAATAAAAAGAAAGAATGAATATTTGAGTTAAAAATTTGTATCTGCACTTAATAATAATTTATGATTTTTCTAATAGAAGTGAACAGTCTAAAAAATGATAATTTTACACTCAAATATTTATATTTATTATATTTATATATTATGTTAGTGATGAAAGTATCAGCTTCCAAAGGTTTAATCAATAGAATTTCAAAAATTATAAGGATTTATAAAGTAACTGTAATTCATAATTAGGAAATATTTGATCAGCAAGAAAACGAAACACATGAAGTTATTCCAGCATCTCTGTTTAGACTGGATTTTCTCTTTCTTATTGTCTCTTATTACATCTATTTTTCATCATCATTTCATTTTGAAAGTAGACACATCAATGTTTGATTAGTGTAAAAACTTCATTAAGACAAGGTCCCATTCCATTAAATGTAATGCTGACATATTGGATGTCATACAATTCAGAGGTAAGCTTCGGTATATTTTCACTGAAAAATTTGAAATTGAACTTGAACTAATTTAATTTTAAGTAATAAATTTTTAGTTTTTGTAAATTTAAATTTAATCAATTACTAAGTTTCTAACAATTGACTGTCTTGTACAGATATATTAATACAAGGAACATCTATATTTTTGCTTCATAATTTAAAAACTCAGACTATGGTTTGTATTATTGTCATAATTCATTAGGTAGATTATAAAGGCAATTATGTAAATAATTATCTCATAAATATTGAAATTTATAAATTAAGATGTATTTGTAACTCTTTGCCTTTTATTTCAGCCCATGTTTTTATTATTTGATATATGATAGAGTATAATGACTTCTGTTAGTCCTAATTATATATTTAAAACTTTATGCCATATAACATGTGATGTATAGGAAATATGAGGCAAAGGAATTAGAGAAAAAGATTATGGAAACAATTAAAGCATTTCTTCTTAATTTTAAATATGTTCAATTTCACATTCAAACAATCCTGAATGAATGCATTTTAAGATATAAAAGTTACTTTTATATAATATACAAAATTATTCATTAATGTAAATTACTGGAAAATAATTAAGTATTATTATTTTGTCAATAATGAACTTATATTGTACTTTTTTCCTATTTGAATATTTTATTTAAAAAATTGATTCTGTATTTTCTGTGCTAACTTTAATAATTTAAAAAAAAATTACTTTTATAAATTAAAAAACTGATTTTCAAATTGTTTTAAAAAATTTCAGGAACTGGTATGGCATATGCATTTGTTGATTATGATGATCGCCGTGATGCCGAGGTAGGTATTTTATATTTAAGGTTTTTTTATTGATGATTTTTAATAATTTAAAGCAGCAATGGGGATAATTATTTTAAATTTTAAAATGAGAAATATAATTTTTATTTTAATTTTGAATTATTATTATTATTTTTCGTTTTTATACTTTTATATAATTGAAAAATAACAAAATGATTTTGACTATTCTTGCAATTTCCGAATGGGAGAATGAGGAGTCCGATCCGAACAGACCACGCTGAACCAGAGTCCTTAGTCCAGAGTGAATGATAGACCCTTAGCCAATGAAAGCCATGCCATTGTCTACTGTTCTGATTCTTGCCACACTCTGACTGTTGGTTCCGAACCTCCCAATTCCCATCTGTTCCGAATGTTCAATGAACTTATACAGACACAGAAAGCTTCTGAGATCCTATTCTCATGCCGGCCGAGACCGGAGAGACATGCTCCGACCATTCGGCCTAGCGTACGTGCTACAGTCTTGTATGTCTGTCTGCCTCTGGTAAAACAAAAACAAACTTGTTCAGCAACCCTATAATTTAAATTTGGCACAAAAACATTTGAAATGATATTATAGATTTAGGATATTAGTTATTTGGGAGGCTTTAAGTTTCCTTTAACCACCATAACTTTAACCATATGCAATATCCATTGTATTATAATAAGTTTGCAGACACATGAAAAGAATTTCATAATTTTGCATTATTATTATTTTATACATATTTATATATTTTTTTTAATTAATTAAACATTAATTTGTAATTTTCCTAATTTTATTAAATTTTTGAATTTTCTAATATATTGAAATAAAATGATATTGGAACTTGAACTTTGACATTAAAAATTGAAATAAAATTTCATTTCTGAGTAGTGGTAAACTCTTGTGTGTTTTATCAATTGATATTATGGAAATACTAAATATAATCATTATTAAAATTATTGAAAATAAATAATCTCTGAGATAGAAGTTTTAAATCATAATAAATATTAAGTAAAAAAAATTGAATTAACAAAAGGTTAACAAATAATAAAAGAATTTTATGCAAAACTTAAATACTTAAAGCATATATTTGTATTGAAATGTTGCTAAATTAACTAAACTTTTAAGTATCATTATGTATAATTTAATTAAATTTTCCTTCATTGAGTGACTGGTTTGTATTGTTATTCTATAATAAGATCATTTTTTTATAACGAGAACATGTTAAATTTATTCCAATCAGTTGTGATATGATAGATGTCTGGAAAAAGTCTGCAAAAGTTTGCATAATGTAGTTTTTGGAAAAAGAAAATTTTATAGACTAGTCAATTGAAAGGAGATGAAAAGCTGTAGATTATCTTTTATTTTTGTAATTCTACAAGACTCTGTTGTTAAATGTAGTTGATTTGACTTTCAGTATGCACTTTCAGTACAAGACTTTGATTCACATTTTTCAGACAGTACTTTATTTGATTGGTCAGCTGATCCATGTTGTTTGCCTTCCACTCTTTTTCTTAAATGGCTTCATTGAGAATTGTTAAAAAATCTCCAACTGACCAAACTTCTGACACATTTACAGGGTTGACCTCTTTCTTGACAAAGGTGATGTTTTCTTGTTGCGGTACGGTGATTCAGTATGGTTTTGGCACAGTGGGATCTTGCTCGTCTGGCCAGAAGACATGTTCTGCTTGAGAATAGTTCTTTTGAATGTAAGGAATTGAGCAACATCATTTATGTTCATTTAAATATTGCTGAGCATAGCTAGCAAAGCTTGTTTTTTGTTTAGGGCTTAACTCAATCCTTTTGGTCTCATTGCAATTCAAACTAAAACTTTGCCCTCAAATTTTATATTCTTGGAAAACTTCACATTGGCAAATGTAGACGAGATATCACTGGTACAAGTATAGAATCCACCATTATCATCGATCATTGAGTTTGAAAGGGTGAAGTAAGATTCATCATCCAAAATAAACTTTACAGAGAATTTCTGCACTTCATGTTTGCCAATGATCTTTTCTGTCTGGAATTATCTGCTTCTTTTGATATTTAATCTATTTTTTTGTTTTTGAAGATTTGTGGAGTGAACTACTAAATTTTCAGTTTTAGGACTAAATATTAAATTGGAACCTTGTTAGTGTCTTCAAAGGACCTCTTCAATTCTTTCTACTTGGCTTTCTTCAGAATTTTCACTTTCCTACCAGATACTGTTCTTCTGTGTGGTAATCCACTCTCAATAGTTTGAATAACACAATGTATAGTCCATTTTCAAATTCTTTCATTTGCAGAATGGTTTACAGTAAACTATTTCTTAATATTTTATTTAATATGTAAAAGTTGTACTCTCTTAGGACTAAAACATCATCTTTCATTGTCATTTTAAAAGAAGCAGAAAACTGAATGCAGAAAGAGATTCTATAATGTTCTACAAAATTCCGTGCAGTTCAAATTATAGCCCATGAATCATAATTGAAATTATGTGAACATGCAAACTGTAACTACACTAAAATACATGTTATATGACAAAAGATGCAGATAGGTTAAACATATTTCTGTTTGAAATAAATGATACTTCTACTTTTAGAAATCTGAAAATCAAAAATGTGTAGGAAATTATATACACACTAGCAGACCCCACCACACTTTGTTGTGGCTCAAAATGTATCTATTATAAATGTATAACCCTTCCCCCATGGGGGGAATTTTTCGAAAAATTTCTTCTTAGTGTACATTCTGTTGACGTACCCTATTAAAACGCAATCACCTGCATCTAAAATCTAAAATAGTATAAACAGAAGCAGAGTTCTTTATGGTAAGCCTTAATCCTAACCATCTCCCTTCGGTGGGGTTGAATTTCGACATGTATATTATACAAAAACACGTGTGTATTCGAATGCAGCGTTGTGTCGAAATTTCAAAGGAATCGGTAGGAACAAACGAACATTACATTTTTATTTATATAGATAGATAGAAGATGATCTGCTTTAGTTCATTTTCATAGAAAAGCATAATGCCTCACAGAAAAGCAAACTTAGGGTGTCATACTTGTAGCGCCATCTGTTGGACATAAAAGCCTTAAGCTAGATTATATCTTTTAATTTATATGAATGTTTACCGGAATAATATACATCCTATGTCCACCCTAAAGTTCCATTCTAAATATTAGTGAAAGAATTTTTGAAATCGGATGAGAAGTTTTGGAGATTACCTGCTACATCCAAACTTACATACAAACATTACCTCTTTATAATATTAGTATAGATTACAAATGTTCATGTAACTTAATAGATTTTGATTTTCATATTTCTAGATATTTTATAACTTCATTGAACGATAATTGGTTTCTCAAAATTGGATTCAGTTAAATAGAAGCCAAAATGCAATTTATGTATGCATTTTCTTAATTGATATATATCTAGGATTTAAAATGAGAAGTTATGTTTGAAAATAAAAATTCATATAATTGAAAATAATTATCAAATTTATTAGTGTTTTAACTTTTACTGTAAAATAGGTATTAAGAGATTATTCTAGTTTCAATTTTAAGATAATGTTTTGTTTTTATCAGGCCCTTTTCATTATTATATCTCTTAATAACTGAAATGTATATTAAAATTTATAAACATGCTTTTTAAAACAAAAAATTTTTAAATTTTAACTAATTTTATATGTTTTGTTGAGTTACAATAAATTAAAGACAGTACAGACTCTCACCAGGATATATCATTAAATGCAAAATGAACTGTCTTTTGCTAAAATTCACAACTGAATCACAAGACATATTTTTGTTTTCACCATGTTATCATATGCACTTTTGAAAATTAACACAATGTTATCAACAGGTTATCAAACTGAATGGAGTAAGAACACAAATTTAAATTAAGCAGATTTTTTGATTTTTACAGTTTGTGATTAAGAAAAAAATTATGATAAATGATGACAATGTAAAATAAACATATACAATACAAATGAACAAAACGAATGAGTAAAATAATTAAATAGATTCATATATAATGAGAGTACAACTATTACAATACAATTGAAGATAAATATAATAAGAAATTAAGTAAGATTTTAAAGATTTTCACTACACTTACTTATAAAACAGAACATGACAAAACTCTTCTTCGGAAATTTTTCATGAATATTAATTGCCGAAATTCTAATTTTGTAATATCTGATAGTTATATATTAAATGATTTATTATTACTACTATTGTTTCAATTATATCTATGTAATATTTATGTTTCCATTTTTATCAAAAATATAGATAAAGAATCATTAGAAAACTTGTGTACAGGTAACCCCTGTATAACATGGCACTTCTATAGCATGGATTCACTCTAACACAGTTCGAGAATTGGGTAAAACCCTCGTACAACATGAAATGTAATGAAAACTGTTAAAAGCAAACTTGATTTAACTTGAAATTAGGGAAATCCTCGTACAACAGTTCAATAAATGTGATAAAGCTTTTAAGTGCGAAAGATACCTCATTTTTTTCATTTGAGCGCATATGTACTATCAGATTTTCCTGCATAATTTTCGTGAACTATTAGTACTTAAGTATGTAAATTTTCTTTACCCACCTTTTGTCGATACATGTGGGCCTTCTTGAATATTTCAGTGTTGCCAGATGTTTTTCCCTCTGTTAATAATGCTTATTGATGATGAAGAAAACATTGTTTAATTTATATTAATATGTATCACTTCTTAAGAAAATTTTAATAAAGATATTTATCTTAATTATGAAAATATGATAGCATGTTTTTAATTTTTGGAACCTAACCCCTCTTTTCGTACTAGTTCTTTGTTTCGTATAACACGGAATCGCATAACATGGCAATTTTTTGGAACATAACTCCCATGTCATACGAGGGTTACCTGTACTTTAATTTATATTACAATAAACAATTGGGAATAGGAAATTTTAAAAATTGATAGAGAAATCTGTCATGTTATGTTGTAATGTCTATGATAGTAGCTGTGAAGGAAGACATTTCACCATTGGTAAGATATAAGAAGTTTTCGTTGTCCAAAATTTGGAAATAAATAATGAAAGAAGTGATAACCTTTAAGATCAAGATTAAACGATGCAAGTCAGCAGTTTTCATTTTGAATATCTTAGAAGTTTTAATTTGTTTATGGAAGTTATATTCATAATAATTATTGTTATATATATTATATATCACAATAATTATATATATATATATATATAACACCAATAACAATATATATCACAGAGTAAATGTTAAATTCACGACTCACCTGTGAATACACAGTGCTTATATATATAAACACTGTATATTGACAGGTGAGTCATAAATGAATTTAATATTTACTCTATGTGATGATAAACATTTTTTAATAGTAGCCAAGCAATCTAAGGACAAAGCTATTGATACATTCTTTAATAAGGGATATGATTTGTGGTTTGTATGCAATTTCAACAAATATTGACCAACTCAATATATTTTAAAATAAATTGGTGCAGTTTTTGCTGATAGATAGTTAGACACTCTGAAAATCTATTATTATTATATTGGATTTAGTGGGTTATACTCAGTTCACATCGATGGCTGTGTACTATGCCGGATCAGAGTCAAGGCATAGCAAACAAAAACAAAAATTAGTGTCAGTGTCTGTATTTAGGAATTTCCTAACAATATGGCATGTATTCGACATAGTGGCCTTCTGTAGTGTGATGTATGTATTTCTACTCGGTATGTTTCCAGGCTTTTGTGTAGTGTGTGTGGTATCACACCTGTATAGGAGAGAACGACAGGTACAATAAGCACCCTATCCATCCTCCACAGATGCCTTATTTCCTGGGCGTGTTCTGTGTACTTGCTAATTTTTTCAGTGCAGGTGTTTTGTACATTGTGAGTGTTTGGAATGGCTATGTCTATAATGTATATGATTTTATTGTGTTTGTCAATGAGTGTGATGTCTGGTCTGTTGTGGTAAATTGTTTTATCTGTGATTATGGTTCTGTTGTAGTACATTTTGTGCGTGTTGTTTTCCGATACTGTCTGTGGAATATACTTGTAGTATGGTTCATGGATGTCTACCAATTTGTGTTTCTTTGCAAGCTCTTGGTGTATTATATTTGCTACTTAATTATGTCTATGTAAGTAATTTGTCTGTGCCAAGAACTTGCAACTAGAAGTGATGTGTTGTATAGTTTCTGTCATGATGTGACATTTTCTGCGTGTGTCATTTGTGAGTGTTGTATCTTTGAGTATGTGTTTTCTGTAGTTTTTAGTATTTATGACCTGATCCTGTATGGCAATCATGAATCATCATCATTATTATTATTATTATAGTGGAAACTTGTATAACAAGTATTTTGCATAACAAGCAAAACAAATTGTAAAAAATATACTCGCTTAACGAGTGATGTTTTCCATAACGAGTGATGAGAATAGGGGAAGACCCGGATTGTGCACATGCTCCATCAGTCTGTATTTAGCACTCGTTCCGCTAGCATCTTAGTGTTGTTTATGAACAAACATGATTAAACATTTTTCCAAACTTGTGTTCACACATCTTATGTATGAACATCAACAACCTTTGCCTATTACATAATAAACACGCCAAACAATATGCCAAATTCTTGGGCTATGTAAAGGCTATAATTAAATATTAGAAATTAATTTGACTAGAGGTAGGCAGTTATGCTGCCATCTCATATTAAATTTAATGACCAATTCCAAATTAATTTCCATAAATGTCTAAATTAAAAATTAATTATTTATAATTATTCAATTTTCAGTAATATGAAATGGCAGCATAACTGCCTACTACTAGTCAAATTAATTTCTAATATTTAATTATAGCCTTTACATATCCCAAGAATTTGGCATATTGTTTGGTGTGTCTATCAGAGATATTATCTGTGATATTTTTTTTTTTCTGCAAATTGAATTTGCATTCCAGGTTGGTTCATTTTGTAATAGAAGAAAAGATGATATTGATTCACACACCTAAACAATGTATATTGTATACTTTTCTTTGAATAAATGTTATATGTAAAATATTTGAGAATTTTTTCAGCATGGAATTAATTATCGTATTTTACATTAATTTATATAGGAAAAACTTTCGCTTAACGAGCATTACAAATAGGATTCTAAAACAAATTATGCTCATTAAACAAGGTTTCACTGTATTATTAGTTATCAAACTGCCACATTTTCAAGGTTACAAATGACATTTCACCAACAATTATCAAAAATAAAGCTTGACAATTAGTTTTGTATTTGTCAGTATTCTAAAGATGAGTGAACAAATGTGCATTATCAACACATTATGGTTTTTTTATTTTACAAAAGGCAAAAATTGTGGTCAAACCTGCCAAAAAATATGAGAGGGGTATGGTAAGGATGCCGTGAAAGAATGTGTGCCAGAAGTAGTTTGCAAGATTTCGTTCTGGTGATTTTTCCGTTCAAGATGCATTATGATCAGGTTGATCAGTTGAGATTGACAGCCATCAAATAAAAGAATGAATTAATTAACACACTAAAATTTTTTTTTAGTGTGTTAATATTTATACCGATCCCATTGGTTTTTAATAATTGAATGAATTAATTGATAGTAATCCATGCTATACAACATGAAAGATTGCATATATTCTTCAGATATTGAAATCAAGCATGAAAAATCATCTGTGTCAGTTTGGTTACATCAGGAAGTTTGATGTTTGGGTTCCACACTACTTAGTGAAGCCAGTCATATTGCTCACATTTCCATTTTCGATTCACTCAAAACACACAAGGAAAGTGACTTATTTGTGACATGAAAGGCGACAGGGAATGAAAAATGGATTGTTTACATCAGCATCAAGTGCAAAAGATCATTGTGAACTGCCACAAATCACTTCAAAAGCTGGACTTCATTAAAAGTTATGTTCTCGATTTGGTGGGATTGGAAGGGTGTTTTGTTCTATGAGCTGCTTCTGATAAACAAAACAAATTCCAACATAAACTTTGACCAGCTGGACAAACTAAACACAGTCAGGAGAAGCATTTGGAATTGGTGAATTGCAAGGACATCATCTTCCAGCATGATAATGGCCACATGTATCTTGAAAACCCAGCAAAAATTGTTGGACCTTAGCTGGGATATCATTCTGCATCTTCCATATTCACCCAACCTTCTCTTCTGATTACCAGTTGTTTCACTTTCTTCAAAGTTCTGTAAACAAGCAGAAAAAGGCATTTGGAACAGTTTTTTAATGAGGTATTATTGAAGCTCCTCAAAAGATGGCAAAAGGTATTTGATAAAAGTCATTATATTATTGAATAAAATTTTTATTTTCTATGAAGAAATAATCTTTTATATTCACCTAAAAAATGCATGGACTTATTGGGCAACCTGATATTAACTTCAGATAGTATACAGATTAATATGATTTTTCTAGCCTTCACATAATCCTATGAAACAGGCATAAAATATAAAAGAATTTTGTATTGTTTTAAATGTAAATAATAAAAGACTAAGTACAGTGCAAGTTTGTTAATCAAGCACCTGCAGGATTATCATAGTTCCCTAGATTGATTAATGATTTTGTGAAAATACAAAAACAAAGTTTTGATAATAAGAATGACTCCTAAATGACTGGCATTGATGTGCTTCTTACATACACACTGCCACACACACACATTGAGGATCAAATTTTTTCAAATATCAAGGTGATACTTTCAAGTTAGATCCCAAAAGAAGTTTGCATCAACTTCTTCAACAATTGTGGTGTAAACACTTAATAGGAAACGGAAAACACCAGTGAGTGTTTGACTCAACATGAACAAAATGCTGTAACAGAATGAGTTATATTCATTTGTAACCAAATTTCCATGTCTGGTATGAATTTGAAATTACAATTGTATTACATAAGTAATGAAGCCTGATTTAGTCAAATTAAATTACTAGATTAAATGTAGTCTGACAAGTAGATACCTGTATTAATATAAACTGTATTATATTTATGTTCATGGTTTTTATAAAAATTTGAATAACTTTTATAAAAAAAATAGTTTTGAAAACAAAGATTATTTAGACATTGAATTTTTTCATGTCATTCATTGTTTGCCTAAAACATTTTAACCATTAATAATATATATTACATGTATAGATTTTTTTGTTTTCATAATTAGTTTACTTACATTGTAAATCTATTTACTTCTAATAGCAAAGTTTTAATAGTGTATGCTTTGGAGAAGCAGAAAGTTGGTTTATCCACATCAAATTACAAACAGAACTAATTTTATTTAACAGATTAAATGAATGTAATTTATGATTAATTACATGTTTCATAATTCAATAGAAGTATTTCTATTTTTAATAAAAAAAAACTTCATTTTTTAAAAGCAACCAATATCGTATGGTGAAATTAATCTTAATTTGTTACCATATTCTTAAAATATGTAAATAAAAAATGTTTAGGAATCGTGTTTTTCTTGTAAAAGTGAAACATTAAGTAAATGGATAATGCTATGGTTTAAAGGAAGGTGCGTTAATATTTTTCAGGAATTTAATTTCACTAACAAATCAATATATTAATTTAAAATATAAATCTGTTTCAAAATACAAATAAATTTTTAAGTTTTCTAAGATAATTTAAATCAATTAACATGATTATTTTAAATAAATAATGACTTTCAGATTTTCAAAATTTTGAGGTTTCGGTACTTTAATGTTTTTTTTTTTAATTTATAGAAATATTGCAATATATTTTAAAGTAGGCTATTTTTTACAATGAAATTTTGTTTAATATGAAAATATTATTTTAAATTAATAAGTTTTTTCATTTACTTTTACTTAAAAGGAATTAATTTATCTAAAAACATATGAATGGAATTTCATTGTATTTTTGAATTAAAGTATTATTATAACACTTTGAATTTTGTTTTTTACATTTATCAATGAATTTAATTCCGATTATGATATAATTAATCATCAGGATGCAATTAAATATGAAAATGGAAGAGATCTTAGAGGGCAAAGCATTGTTGTAGAATGGGCTCGAGGACCATCGTATCGTCCAGCTGTGAGTAGTAGGGTAAGTTGATTTATTATTACAATTTTACTTAAAATTAGGCATAAATTAGGTTATACTCTTTATTTTTTTGAGTTTTAAATATATTTATATTTTATAGTTAATAATAATGAAAATAATAATAATAATAATAAATAAAACTTTGAAATTTGAGATGCAAATTTTCTGTAAAAAGAAGAGTAAATCAGTGCTCCTAAAAATGTGTAAAAGCAGAAATTTTTGAACTGAGAAAACATTTATTAACAATTGATTTGAGAGGAGCATATTTAGTTTTCACTAAGAATTCTAAATTTTGTGACTGAAGAAACTGGAATTATATTTTGAATATCCAGATTTTTGCTGATGTAATATTCCAGTTTCTCTAAAGTAAATCCATCCAACTGGTTTATGGCATGTGTAGAAATCTCCCACTACTTAGTATAGCTTTCCTCAAGCTCAGAAACTAAATTATATTGATATGTGAATGGATTTGAATGAATAGTATAGAGTTCTTTTAATGTGACTTCTTGTTTCAACAGATTCTGAAGTTTCATTGTGGCTTCCAAAGAGTTTTCATCTAATTTGTCAATGACTATTTCTATAGATGAGAAATTTTTGACATAAAAACAAACCACTCAAATCCATGTCCCCACCTGGTTATTAGAGGGTGTTTGGGAATGGCAAGCCTTTATATCTCTTTATATAAATGGACATTTGCAGGACATTAATCAAAGCCTTTTTTTTTATTTCTGAAATGAAATCATTGACTCAAGAAAATCCTGCTCTAACTGCTTCATTTAATTGACAAGTACTGTCGACAATATATAACCATCTTCAGATAATATGGCAAATAGAACACATTCTTAAACTGCTGTTTGTGCAAAAGCATGGAACATAAACATTACAGAAATAAAAATACAAAATTTATACATGATTACAAAATAAATATGATATATGATGACTATGGCTAATGGAATTAATATATACAGAAATAATTGATAGTAATACAGAAAAAATTTAAACAAAATACAAATATTGGAGCACCACTGATGCTATGTTTTTGTCATGTGATTGCACAACCTATGACTTTAAAAGGTTGAACAGTGCAACCCACAGCACTTGTATATCAAGTGGGAGAGTTGCATGACAACATTGATGTAATGCACAAAGATTCTCATATGAGCAAGATTCTCTTGTCCCCATAGTGTTTTACCAACAAAACTTAAAATCAAAAAGGATTGAAATTATATTCCATCACTATTTGGATACATTTGTTATACACCTATGTATAATATCTTCAAGATACTCTGCTAGACAGATGGAGCATTCTGGCATGGCACCTATATATAGTAGGTTTGACCCAGTTAGTGGATTTTGTAAAGGAAAAGCATAAACTCCAGATTTTTCAAAAAGTGTAAACCTGTTTCAATCATTTCAAGTCATTGCAGTGTGGGCTGGGGAGCCATTAGCAGTATATAAGCAAATTTCTTAAAGACTCTGCATTTATGTAAGGAAGTGGGACCCAGATATGGGATAGCTGGTGACACAAAGACTATTTCCTTCTTGCAAAATAAAGTGGACTCTGGAAATAATGTAATTTTAACCCAGTTGACTAAATTATTAAACTTAGCGAGGGAATAGCCAGCCCTGCATATTGCAAAGTTTACTTGGATAAGTTCTTCGTTCACAAGCAGTTGAGAGGATGAGTATAAAAAAGTCCTATATATAAGGGCTGTAATGACCAAATTTTTGTACCTGGAGGGCTAGAAGACAGTGGAAGGGATAATGTATGGCAGTTCATCAAACTTGTGAAAAACGGAAAATGAAGATCCGTTAGGAGATGTGTGTCGAAGTAAATCCAAGGAAGAGATCTCTTTATCTATTTCTTTCCTATTTCTTGTTGGCTGTTTTCCAAACCATCTCATTTATGAGCTAATCAGCTCATAAATGAGATGGTTTGGAAAACAGCCAACAAAAATTTTATAAATTGTAATAATTTGCTCTCTGAGTCTTCCCATGCTAGCAGCACATCATCCATGTACCGCAGATGTAGAAGAGGATAACATACAAAGCAGGGATCAAAAAACTTTGAATTCTACAGCTCTCATAACTAACTCAGCTAAAATAGCCAAGAGAGGCAAGCCCATAGATACTCCCAGTTTCTGTAAATAAAATTACTATTAAAATGGAAATACAGTAGAGCGTCGATTTTCCGAAAGTCAATCATCCGAAAGAATTCCACTCTGCAAATTTAAATTTTCGCCAGTGCTGTGGCGCTTCAATCTTTGGCTATGTCTTTGGCTACCCAAATATTTTACGTTTTTGATACTAAATTAACATATGAAGTATAATTTTTAATTGTTTCTATATTTTTCAATATATTTATTTTGTTTGTACAAAATAAAAAATTAATTTTTAACGATACAATAGTCTTTGTTAGGCTTAACATCGATGAAAATTCAACGCGAAGCAACACGCTATGGATAAAAATTTTAGCATTGGATACGTTAAACTATTTTTTCGTATATAAATCGGTTATCCGAAATATCAGTTATACGAACAACCCCAGTCCCGAATTGATTCGGAAAATCGACGCTCTACTGTAGTTATTTTCAGTAACCAATAAGAGCTTCCCCCAGCTCAGTATTTATGGTATGGAACACCCATTCCCAACCAAAAGATTGTTGGCAAGCATGGTTGCTTCAAAATGGGGAACAAATGGGTATAATGAGATGATGTCTATTTTGAAAAAAAAGGTACAAATTTGGAGGTGTAGCTCCAATAGTATCAGTTATGAGAGATTTTGCTTCAAGAGTGGTAGAAACAACAAGATTGACACTAGGAACAATCACAGTAATTTTCTTAGCAAGAGCTTTTTCTAAAAAAGAGGTTGTATGGGAATGCTTGTCACTAAAGAACAAAGGGGCCAGGCAGATTTGTGTTTTTACTTCAAAAAACAATCTGGGACATGCTATGTTGTCTGATGGATCCAGGGGTCCAGATAATGCTGATGCTATTCCAAGCATAGTGATAACTTTTCACACTTTTCAAAACTGCTGGAATTGGATCTTCTGTTACTAAAACTGATCTTGATTGTAGTAGGAAGTCATTAGCCCCGCATAAAAAGCCTTCATTTTTGCACAGCACAAACCTCTTGTCTTTATCAGAGACCAAAAGTCTAAGATTTAAATTGTTCAAATAATTTGTCACCAATTTCTGTCTTTTCTGAATGGAGACAAGTGTGTGGAGAATGTGCACTAGAAATTTTTGTAAAAATAAATACCACTAGATGGGAAAGTCCTTCTGTTGACACCTACTAATTGCTGCTATGGTAAGGAAAGGATTAAGTTTAATATTTAAACAAAAATTTGGAGGGAGAATGTTTGGAAAGTGGATCGTGTTATTTTTTAAAGTTGTTGTTTGAAAAATTTTTACTTTTATGCAATTTAATAAAAATAGTTTAGTTTAATTTTGATTCTAAGTAGTCTATAACTTATAAACTTAACTATGCTGCTTTGTTTATTGTAATATGTAATTACCAGTTTATTATTATTGTATGTTAAATATAAAATGATATGTAAATCATAAATTTTTAGGAAAATTGTGTAACTCTCATATTTTTAAATTTATTATTTCATTCTGTTGTGATACAGCTTTTTGACCCATACAGTAGTCACAATCATTGTATATTTTGTAAACAAAGTGAAAACTACAATATCTGCACTAAAGTGAGAAAATTGTTGCAATTTATTGATGAAAAAAGTTTTNCATAAATTTGTATATTATTGCATAAATAAAAATATATAATTTTCAGTTAATAATTCTTACTTACTTTTTAAACTAATAAAAAAATTGATAATTTGAATAATTTTAAATATTTAAAATCTTTCAGCTTCATGCAGAATGTTATCGATGTCATCGTCAAGGACATTGGGCAAGAGATTGTCCTGAATTAGAGCGCGATCGATATTACGTTAGAAGATATCGATCTAGATCTCGATCCCGATCCAGATCACACCGCAGGTATGTTTTGTGCATGCAACTTTGAATGGCATTAATTTTTGTAAAATTATGTCTTAATAATAAATTTTTTAAAGTTATATTGTTATATAGTAGACTCTACATATTGTAATCATTTTGGGACTTTCAAAAGTTGACAACATTAAGGAAATAAGATTACAGTTAGAAGAAATTTTAGTTTACTGATTTTAACATTAAAAAGCCATGTTAAAACAATTTCAAAATTCATAACTGAAAGACTATTAATTATAATCATTAATCATCTATTGATGTTTCCTGCTATCAACTTTAGCTAGCATAATGCCAGCAATTTAAACTACTGTACTGTAAGCAAATGATTAGAATGATTACTTTAACCTATCTGATGTTGAAATGTTACTTTGTTGCATGTGATGCAATATTAAATTTTTGTTGATGTTAAGCNGTTGTATAAAGTTAATATTACATTATCAGAATAAAAGTTTTTTGATTTGTAATATTTTACTATGATATATAAATACAAATTTTATTTTCATTTATATTATTTGTTTTATCGATGTATGCTAAGTTTCATATATTGAAGCTTTTAGTATTGATTAATACATGAGTGAAGCTTTTGTTTGAATTACTAAAATTCTATTACCTATAAAGTTTGCATATAGTTTGAAGTAGTGATAAATTGGAAATATCAAAAAAAAAATGTTTTGTTGAAATAAATATTTGACTATGGCTGTTTACTTTTGAATGGAAGGAGATCTAAAAGTAGTCTTTGAGATAAAAGTATATATATTTACACTACATGATTTTTTTTATATGATGAAATATTATTGAGAATGTATATAATGTCTGATTAGAAAATGAGTGGTTAATACAGTAGGACTTCTGAAGACTTCAAAGTTAAAGTAATAGTAATTACTTGTTTATTAATATTAAATTTTGATTCATTTACATACAGTGATGATAAAGTAATGAAATCAGACTGAATATTTGTGCCTGTATTGTTTTAAATGGTGAAATCATTTGAATCAATATATTTGTGTAAATTAAGTGATGAGATATTTTTGTAAATATTATTGCATGTTGTTCTAATTATGTTTTAGTTTAAAATAAACAGAATAGAATAAACAAAAGAAAAAAAAAGATTTCTGAAATTAAATAAAAACTTGCTTTGCTATTAGTATGTGCACAGATTACTTCATTGTTTTCTTATTTTTTAAATATTTCTTTATTTACATTTGTGATTGGCAGAATCTTTCCAATATTTTTTTTAATTTAAAGTTACAATTAACAGGTTGAGCATCACTCAATAAAACATTTATAGGAACCTGAGACCAAACTTTTTACTTTTCCTTTGTGACTAATATATTTTTCTCTCATTATTTTAATGTTTTTCATTTAGTTTTGTAGATGAAGTGTATTTTTGGAAATGCCCACAGGTGGGCACAAGATCCAATAGACAAGTTTTGCTTACTTTGTGTCTATCATTGGATATAGACATTTGACCCCGTGTCTATCATTGGATATAGACATTTTGGAAGAATAAACTCTGAATGAAAGCATTTTCTAGATGAAAGTAAATTTACTAATGAAGGAAGCTGAAGGGCTGATTATAAAGAGATGTGATGTTAATTATAAAACATTCAGTTGGCAGTATGGTGCTACTTATACCAGAAAACATAAAAGTAAACATATGTGAAAAATATAATAATCCAATTTGACTCATTTTCAAATACAACACAAAATAAAATAGTTTGCATTAACTTTGCATGTTTTATTATATCAAACCCTTTTCATTTAAGATATATATTTTGTTTGAACAAATGTATTATTTTCAATGGTCAATCCAATAAAAGTGATAAATGCCATATGACCAATGCATTGTCACTGATAAGTAAAATAGATATAAATCATGCCCACTGGTAGGCATGTGGCACTAAAGCCAACAATGAAAATGTCCACAGATGGTCATTTGGCACTTAACATGCTAAAAAGTTATTAATTTTTTTCTCTCACATTTCTTGTCACATGAAATTATATAACATGTTTTGATTATAATTTTCACATTTGAAATTTAAGTTTTTGATAAAGTTCATATCAACATTTTATATAGAACACTTCAATCAGTGATGTATTTATTAAATAGAATGAGTAATACAATATAGAAAAATAAATTAATTATAAATCTCTAAATGTTAGTCAATTAATAGGTAATGTACAGTACTTAATGAAATCTAATAATTTATTTGAGAGAGAATGTAATTTATTATTTGGGAAATATTTTTTAAATTGATTTGCTTTAAATTTATGAAGAATTTTTAATATACAAATAGTCATAAGTTGATTATATATCATACTTTACTGTAATTATAAAGAATGAATGATATATAATTTAAAAACAAAATTAAAATTTTTCTTTTATTAAAAGCTTTCTTTTGTTTTTTTAATTAATTAAATATAATTGTATATATTTAAATTAATATATTTACATCACAATCTAAATTACTAAAATGACGTGTGATCGGGAATTTCTCTGGTTTCCAATCTTTAAACAATTTTAAGATTGGAAATCTGAAAGGATATAAATATAAAATTGATATTTTCATGTTTATTTGTGGTTGTAAAACTTCTGTTCTGATTTGTTATAATTTATCTGAAGTTGTCATAATTTTTCATTAATTTACCATAAACTACAAAAATTAACATGACTTTAACATTGTGGTGTTTTGCACTACAGTATACGAAATTGCAGTCTTCTCGTGTGTCAGATGATTCCGTCTCGAAATATTCATTGCACGTCATTGCTAGATCTTGGAGCAAGGTTAGAAAATCTATTGCTTACTGTTTATTTGATAACTTTAAATAGTAATTTTAGATCATCTACATATGCTAGTATTTCAGCTAGTATCTCATACAATAAATTTTCAAACTTATTCTGTTATAAATTTGATCTTGTGGCACATTATTGGGCTAAAATATTGGGTTTATCCTTTTATTTTATTATTAATGTGATGTAATTACGCAATTTATGCATTTATTCTTAATTTATAAATGCCATTAAATCAGAAATGTAAATAGAATTTTGTGTGATGTATTATATGTATAATATATACAAAATTCCATTTTACTTTACAAACAGATGTAAAGATCTTATTTATTAATCATTTACAACATACAAAAATATGAAAATTTTATATTTCAGAACCTTGACAATAGTTTAATGTATAAATCACAAGCATTCCAAAAATAAATGTGTGTGTATATATAAAAAAAAAAATGTACTTTGGAATATTTGGATTGCTTGTACAAAATATACAATTCTATTTTCATTGCTGTCTATTTATAATTTTTATAATTTAATGGTTTAATAACATGAAAGTTTTAATTTTAAATTAATTTATATTATATAGATTAAAATCAATTTTAACCATTCTATTGATAGAGAATTACATTTCGTTTTAGTTGTAATCACAAATACACTATTCTAACCTTGTCATTAGTATAGTTGCAGTAATAATAAGACATAAATTCTTTAAGATTGTTTTTTTATAAATCCTTAAAAAATAGTTTGTATATACAGTGGAATGCCAATTTCAGGATCCTGTTAATCCAGATTTCCAGTTTATCTGGATTGTAAAACAAAATACAATAGAAAAAAAATGTAGTTGCATTTATAGGTTTTCTGGAAAATCTGTAAATGTGAAAAAGCCAAAGAACTCATAAGTTTCTTTCCTGAGTGTAACATCATTACAGTTTGTGAGAATACATTTGCTTTTTAGTAATCAGAATATGATGGTCATTGTTATGCATTCTGTGGGAGTGTTCTTTCAGTTTACTTAATATCTTATTGAATCTTTTCTAACATTTCAAGACTATCAATTGTAAAAAACTACTACTTACCTGTTGAATAAAAATGTCAACCTGTTAATAAGTTTATCATTTGCGAGATGATAGTCACTGAACACCACACAGCTATTATTATTTCTCTGAATTTCAGTCACCTTCAGTCTTTCAAGAAGTAAAGTAAACACTTATGAAAATGATGTCTAAAAGAAAGAAGTGGTTGTTACATTGGAGAAGAAATTAGAAATATAAATTATAATGTACATATACTGTGTTATTTATGATGATGATGGATTTTTGGTCATCTGGATCAGGCCAGGATCCTTTTGAGCCAGGTAAATGGGGTTCCACTGTATTTAAAAAAAAAAAAAAACATATATTTTATCAAATTTTTAAATTAAATGTGCAAAACATTCTGGGCTACATTAGAAAATACATTTTTGCCATAAAATATAGCATTGTAATATTACAATGCTATATTTTAGTATAGTGTACACCAGGAGAATGGAAATTTTACTTTACAGTATTTGTGCAAAAAATTTTTTGCTTAAATATAAATGAATGAAATTTGTTTTAATATTACAAAATAGTTTATTTACATGCAACACTAATATATGAAACAATTGAAGTGTAATAATAGAATTTTATACAATAAATATAAAAATTTAAGAAAGTGTTTATCTGACAAATATATAAAATATAAAAATAAATGTTTAAGACATATAATTAATCAATATTTGTTCATTTAATTATTGTTAAAACTTATTTTCTATGAACAAAAAATCATTGTGTAAGAATTTTTGTGTACATCAGGATTTCATTTATTAATGATTAGCTGTTTGGTGAATTTTTCCTAAATTCTTTGTAGACATTCTAAAAATTTATGAAGACATTTTATAAATTATTCTTTGAGTGTTTCTTTTCATTCTATAAAACAGGTTAAAACAACTGGATACTGTTTTTGTTGTTTCATCTGTAATAAGGACAACTTATTAAACAAAATATTTGAGTTTAATAAGGGGAAAAAATGACAACAATTGGTTTAATCATTAATAAATGACATGTTACTTTACTTGTAGTCTCTGGAAATATCATTAGATTTATTTTAATATTAGAGTTAAAAGTTGATGTTAGTTGTAGTTTGTTATATATAATGTTATATAACATACATGCTAAAAGAATGA